GGCCTGTTCCGGGCGGGGTTTCTTCGGCTCTTGGATTGAAGTTGTCGCGTCGGGGTGCAGCCGCACTGAGGCTCGTTCTTCCGCCAGTTCGGTGTGCACGGGAAGAGTTGGGGGGGGGGGGAGGGGGAAGGGCGAGGGACGAGGCGACCTGCTGTTGCCCTAGTTGGTTAGAGGTTCCCTCGGCTCTCACACGTGTGGACATTTGGTTAAAGCCTCGTGGCTCTGCCGGGCTCCGTCTGCGTCGCTTCTCGTCAAAACTTGGACATCCGGTTGAAGCCTCGTGACTGCGCGGGACTCCGTCTGCATTGTTTCTCATCCAAACTTGGCTATCCGGTTAAAAAAGTCTCGTGGCTCTGCGGGGCTCCGTTTGCGTTGCTTCCAGTCAAACCTGAACATCTGGTTAAAGTCTCGTGGCTCTGCAGGGCTCCGTTCGCGTTGCTTCCAGTCAAACCCGAGCATCTGGCTGAAGCCTCGTGGCTCTGCGGGGCTCTGCCCGCATCGCTTCTCATCAAATTCGGACATTTGCTTAAAGCCTCGTGGGTCTGCGCTGCTCCGTCTGCGTTGCTTCTCATCCAAACTTGGACATTTGCTTAACGCCTCGTGGCTCTGCGGGGCTCCGTCTGCGTTGCCTCTCACCGAGACTTTGCTATCTGGTTAAAGCCTCGTGGCTTTGCAGGGCTGCACTTGTGTCGCTTCTCATCAAAAATTGGACATTTGGGTTCATGCCAGTGTATGCCTGTGCGGTTGCAGCGTCTGACCAACATGACTCACAGACTTCGAAACACGGTCAGTCAATCACCTAGTAGCCATGACCCATCGGATGGTGTTCAGTTCTACTTTACAGTGTGAGCATGTGCGTGTGCGTGCGTGTGCGCGTGCGGCTCTCGGTGAGCTGGAATACTCCGGGTCTCGCTGACAACCAGACGTCGGCCTGCGTCCTGCTAAGAACTCGGTAAGGCTGTCGACGGTGATGGCAGCACCAGAAACTCTTTTTGAGATCGTTGAGCTATGCCGTATTCAGGACCGCAATCGCCGCCAACACGCGGGGAATGGCAACATCCCGTGAGATGCTTGGAATCTCTAGGTGTGCAGGACTTTCTTGCTTAGACCGGTTGCGGGGGTTGGGTGCTTGGACGATACTTACCGCTTCCTGTGCGATCATAGGGGCCAGCCCCGCGTCCAGCGCGGCCCGCTCGGTGGGCCGCGACGTCCGCCCGGTGCTCGGGAATGAGTTATTGCAGGTATGCATGGTCGTATACATATGTGCATGTAAGCGGTGCGACATCCCTTAACGACGCACTGAGGCTTGCGTGCGAGCCGCGGCTCCTTCCCGGGTCTTACGAGCTGAACGGCAACGGGGCGGTTGTGAAAGTGGACCGCGAATTTTTCATCGCTCTCTGCGGCTCCGGCGCTTTCGCTGCCCGCCCGAGGGATATTGATTTGACTAAGTGTGGTCGCAATACCCTCACTGCCTTGATGCGGCGCAACCCCAGCCTTGCGTCGGACGCCGCAGCGCCGTTTCTGCATCACTTCT